ACTGTGCAAATGCTCCTCCACCAGACCATTTAATTACAATAATTTAGTCAAAGTTCTGTTCTTGTGACTGATCAGAATCTTGACTGTTATTTATTTATTATCCACGTTTGTTTCAATTATTATACACACTTTTTTATTTTACTGCAAACAGTGGTTTAGCCCAAAATGCATTTTCGTCACAGCATCAAAAAAACCCTCTGCAAAGCCCTGCGTGCAACAGTCGTTAATACCTGATGAGTAAACGAAGTAACCTTTGTTTTAGACTCTTGTTCGAGGCCCTTTGTCCTATTCAATGTTAATGCCAACTGAGCTATTCAAGCAAGGCTTCTATGTTTGAGTTTGTACCAGGAAATTTTATTTCCTGCCGACTTGGGCGATTGCCCCCCAGTTGTGGCCATAGAAATAAGGCGATGTACCAGGAAGGTCGTTAACTTCTTCGGTTTACAGAAAACTTTCCATGCGTTTTATTTATTTCTCAGCCTGTTGCAGCAATAACTTTTTCCATTTTCCACTAAAAATAAATGCAGCAGAATAAGGACTTGTCTAATTTTTAACTGAAATATTTTTTAAAATCGGCTCAAAGACGAAATTTGTAACTGAAATACAGTGCGAAAAAGAAGCTGGTAATAGGCTGACTTTACTTCAGTTGAAGCAAAATTCTCAGAACCGAGTAAAACTCCTTCTTCATACGTTCAAGAAAATTTCTTGAAGTGAGAAAGGATCTAATGAAGTAAAATTGTGTAATTTTGACCAATTTCGACTTCAGTCACTAATTGATTAGTTTTTCAGACACTTCTGGATATTACCTCATCAAATTTCATCATTATCATGAGTAAATAAGTTCCAGATTTTTGCAGTTAAAAATAAATTTTTTAAGATGTAAAAATATAAAGCAGACAATTAATCGACAGTAAATTTGAGCAGCAATTTTTCTTCTACAATTAAGTGTTACCATAATAAACTTCTAGATACCTGTGCAGTGCCAAAGTAATATTAAGGAAGTTCCACCAATTTACTTGTGTACTGCCAAACTATTATCAAAAAAGTTCCACCAATAAGTTTTTGTCTTTTCAAATTCATTATGATACAAAAGAAATAAAACTAAAACTTGAATTATGTGACCAACTAAATATTTCCAGTAGCTATCATCTAACACCTTTACAGCACTTTATAAAACGATTTGGACTAATGCTGTTTGTGAAATCTTGGTTGAAGTTAAAAGACAAGCGTTCTAAACAATTAGTGGAATATATAGCCTGGAAAATTTATAAGAATTTCAAAGCCTCGAAATCTGTAGTGATAATGACCAAGAGAATCTTTAAAAAAAAAGTAATTTTTAAGTGCCGTCAGCTTTTCAGATGTTATCCTCAGGTAGTCGTGGGTTCAATCTGAATATTACTTTGTTACTACGTTTTGAAATTTCAAATCTACGATGCTTAAAGCGAAAATTTGTAAATGGCAAATGGCCAGGAAATTGAATGTTACAGCTGTTCTTGCTCCCGTATTCGATTGTATGAAGGAGCTGTTGCTGATCCAGTACTGCTTTTTTCAGGTTTGGCGTGTCGGGAATGTTGCTTTGCTGTAATATAGCCTTTAAATTCGTTGGTGTCTGTGTTGATAAAAGAAAGTGGTTTTGGTTGGATGGATATAGTTGTAAAAACTGCGTAATAACGTTTCAAAAACACGTTATCTATTAAACATCTGAAATGATGTGCAGTTTTATGCTTATTGTTATCGAATTGCCATATTTTTCAAAGCGTTGTTTTCTTGGTGTTTTTTCTTGCTAATGAACTAATACTGTTCAAAGTTTAGCAGTCTTTGCATAAGTCTTGGTCACGTGTAGGTTTTAAGGCGGCAAATGACAGCTCTCTATCATGAACGCTCATCAAAAATCTTTTCTTTGTAATTTGACTTGGATTTCAGACAAGTACAAAGAGTAGGGAATAAAAGATTTTGTGGCTCACCCCGTATTAACTGCCGGTTGTACGTGCAAAGGCTCTAAAAAATTTCTTGAATATTGAAGTAGCATGAGAAGTGTTTTTTCACTCACAACATGTAACTTTGGGTGGGAAAGAATAAAAACGAACGAGTCAAATCTTAAGAAAAGAAGTTTGAGTTCTTCGGCGCTCTAATAACAAGCTGCTGTACGAGTATCTGCTGGTCGTTTGGGGATATAGGAGAACATTTTGTGGCATTTCCACAGATGAGTTTGCACCGGAAAAACGTTGAAGTTTTAATTAAATAAGGTAGCACATTTTGGTATACTATAGTAATCT